CGCAGCACCGTCAGCAGCACGGAGTCGTACTGGCAGTCGTTCAGCATCGCCATCGCCTCCGACACGCTCTTCACGCCCTCCAGCGAACGGTTGTTTATCTGAAATACACGAAATCATACATTTCACGTCTTATGTGAATATATCAAGTTGTTATATTTGGTACTCACGCTCACAACTCGATCGCCCACGTAAATATTGCCCTCCTTGGCCGCGGCACTACCGCACGCTATTTTGCTAACGAAAATACCTGTCAAGGAAATGTAACATTTAAAAAAGCACAAACGAAAAAAAATCTATATCTTGTCGCTTTGCAGTGTGCAGTGGGTTATAGACGTAGCTAGTCTATGATCTGGCCAACTCTAGGGGAGTAGTTAATACAGCCTTATAAGAAATAGTCTTTTATATTTGTTTTGTTTTAAGATTAACTTATTGGTGCAGCTGCTCCACTTAGCCCATCCCTTGGCGGCGTCTATTGTAGAGCAGGGGTAGCAAATCATTGGTACGTGTGCCATAAAAGGTATAGGACGTATTATTTTGGGCACGTCAATAACCATGAAAAGATTACGAAAACATTATGAAGTAGATACACCATTAAATTGATAAGATAATCAGTCAAAATTATTCTATAGCACGTGTAGGATCGCATTGAACATGTCAAAAAATGGTACTTTGTTGCATAATGGGGATGTTTCCTAATTTTTGGAATTGCTTTTATTATGTAGATAAACCATATCTAAACAAGAAAAAAAATATGATAAAATCTTATACGCAACATTTAATTACAAAAACACTTAACTAAAAACAACTTCTCGAAAGACCGCGAAAACGCCTCATGACATGACGTCACTTCTTTGCCTACAAACCTCGCGTCGCGGTCTGTCAAAGTCATTCAAAGTGACCAGACGTAAATTGAATTAGCTATTCAAATAACTTTTACTATTTTTTTTTTCGTCATAGTGATCGAAGAATTTGCTCGTAAAATATGTCGTAAATATAAAAACACTTAATAATGGAGTCCTCATAATATAACACACGCAAACTCAATTATTATAATCATTAAAAAAAATATATAACTACAAAATGCACTGACATTCACTGAAGCTGGTCACACTGTCATGTTGTTTACGAAGAAGCTACGTCACCGAGCTCTGATTGGTGTTTGAGATCGAGTAATGGAGGGTAAAAAATATTGCAGCGTTTTTAATTTATATTTCAATGGAGACAAACATTTAAGGTCGCCAAATGTAATTATAGGTTTTAAAATACTGTCCTTAAAATATTAAACATAACTTTATTTGAATTTGTAACATTAGGAAACATCCCCATTGTTTGCCACCCCTTGTCTAGAGTGTGCAATTTGCAGTATGCAGTGTGCAGTGTTCAGTGCGCAGTGCGCAGTGTGAAGTGCGTAGTGCACAATATGCAGTGCGCAGTGCGCAGTGTGCAGTGCGCAGTACCGTGGTGCAGCGCGACGCCGCCGGCGAGGCGCACGAGGCGGCGCAGGTAGCGCGCCCGCTGCAGACGGAGCAGCGCGGCGCCGCACGCCAGCGCGCCACGTAGCGCCGCCGCGCACGCCGCGCCGCGCGCCCACGCTGACGCGCCGCACGCCTCCGCCACGCGGTCCAGCACCCTGCACACACACACAGCCCACAGTAAAATAACTACACATTGTAAATAAACCGTCAATGAAATACCCGATTTATGTGGTGCATAACACATATCACAACTTAAATACGTTATTCTCGAGAGATTTGCTTAGGTCCAAATAAAAATGGAATAAACAGCAAGTGGTGTTCTTTGAAAAAGTTGGCACCGTGTAATTGCCAAGGTTTCATAATAGACACTAACTAAAATGACTAGGTTTTACACGACATCTGACACTCTTTAATAGGGAAAGCGAGACTCTGCAGTTTTTTATATTCCATATTTTTTGTCGGTCTAGAACTTTGATCTTGCTTTTTATTTTGTACACCACACGTATTTAACATCAAATGCAGAAAACACATCATACAGAACTTAGGACATTAGTATGTTCCTTACCGATTTTAGCTCTAATTGTATTATAAGCAACAAAGACTTCTTTTAAACAACCAAAAGTAATAATTTTTTTATTTATCGTCTTGTGATATTTTAGATATATTATAAATATAAAATTAGTTTTATTCTTTTAAATTCGACGCAGAGGGAGTGTAAAGCTGGGATCGTAAGCGGCGCAGCAAAGTGACCTGATCTTGCCGTCGGCGAGCGAGCCCTTGGTGACGGCGGTGACGTAGACGCTGGTGTCGTTGGGGTAGCAGGGCTGCTCGCGCCCGCCCGCCAGCTCGAAGCCCAGCTCGCCGTCCGCGCCCAGCCCGCTCAGCTCCACCTCGATTATCTCCCACTCGAAGTCCTTCATCACGCACAACACATTACACAATATTACAACTAAACAAATTACTCATTTAAAAAAGAAGCCTAAGAACTATCGCAGAAATATAAACAGAAAAATATTTGCATACAAATCAATATAAATTCATATCAAAAATCCAAAGATATTTAAGAAATACATAGACTAGACATAGGTAACATATTTTCAACCGGTAACTTCTTTGAAAGGTACTATGTTTTTTTACAAAACTACAATAAGATACATCTTTTGTAACAAAAAAAATAAGTGTTACAAATTAAAACATAAACATACAATTTTATGATATGAGGTTTTGAGGATCTATTAATAGATGGCGTAAGTGAATCATATGAAAAAAAGTCTAAGTGTCAACTATGCTTCCTCTATTTCTTGAATTTCTGCACAAATCAAACGAAATCAATTCTCTACAAATCGAATAACAAACATTAACAATAAAACACACCTGAACATCAGCATCTACTGCAGAGTCCCTGTTATGCGACAGACGGACCTTGTCGTCGTGTCCTTTGACCCTGAGGGCTTTGCCCTCCTTTCCCTCTCTGCCCTCCTTGCCCTCCGCGCCCTTCTTGTTCCCGTGCCGTCGGGCGTCCGCCAACTCACCCACCATCTGATCGCGCTCCTATAATAAACGTCAGTTATGAAAACAAATTAAGGGGCTGTCCCCCCCAAATGTTAATA